GAGAGAGAGAGAGAGAAGCTATTTATCGACATCTTTCTCGCCATGTATGTTATAAAAAATTCATGTCTATGCCATAAATTGACTTCTAACAGATCGTAAAAATATCTTGCGTGATAAACAGTCTTTTACGATAGTTCAAGCAGCGGTTAAACAACGATTAGATTATGTTATGTAGATTTAATCGACAGAACAACTACAAGGTTTTCATGGTTTTGTCGATATGTCTTAACGTCGTTTCGGGTACCGCATCTGTCAGCGCTTTTCGAAAGCCTTCACAACGAGTCAACCGTCGAAACATTCTTTTTGCATGATTCCTAAAAATTCAAGCTTGCCGTTACGATTATGATATATATAATATTCTGATTTCAAACAAATGTAAACAGGTTTTTTAATTATAAGAAGGCTAAATCCACTTACCTCGCGTCTAAATTTCCATCCATTAACAGCTTTGCACCTGCATTTAGTAATTTGTCTTTTACATCGCGTGGTAAGATCATAATATGATCTGGCCCAATGCGATCGGTAATGTCCGATAACAGTCGTGCAGTTGCAGCACGAACAATAGCATTTTGATGACTGAACAATTGAAAGTAATCAGTGATTAAATCAAATTTGTTGTGCAGGAAAATATTCTCTAGTAACTTGAAACTTAAAACCTACCTTGCTCCCCGAAGTACAATGATACCGATAGTTTTATGGGGAGGAAGATGCTGTATCATTTGATCCAAAGCTGCGTTGCTGTCTGCTCGAAGAAATCGATTTGTATCGGCCGTTCTATGAAGCAAAGGCCCAGCTATGTCATCCAAGTCCTAGAGGAAAAAAATAAATAAAGCGTTTAAAATAAAAGCATATTTTAAACGTATGTGTAAATGAATTAAATCATTATATCTTTAGTGATGTACGCTTGATACCTGATCGATACCCCGAATTTGAGACCTGAAGATATCGCTAGCAGCGAGACACGCGGCTCGTGCCACTTGCGAACGAAGATTTTTTATGTGTCGTCCTAGAAGCCTTCCTATCGCCTTTCCAGCTGCACAGACGTCCAAATCCTCCGGATGCTGCTTCGAAATCTGAGAAAGGGTTTTTAGACCCTTCATCGTTATTTCCCTATAATACAAGATATAAATTCTGAATAGAAAATTCGTTAAACATCGACTGACAGCGATAATGATTTTATTATGTATCATCGCGATGTTAAAAATATAGATTTTACAAAGTCGACACATACCAATCTTTATTTTCAAGCTGCGTGAAGCACTGTTGTACCATTCGTTTTGATTTTTCCAAAGATTTGTCCGTAGTTCTTTTATTAGAAGACGCTCGACACTTGCTAGCACCGCGCACCGGTACTTTTGAAGGCATTCTTCTATGGGACTCAACATCTTTCAAATGTTCAGACTGCGAAAGAAATTATTTATTAAATATTCTTTCTAAGAAGTCTCTCTCTCTCTCTCTCTCTCTCTTTCTCTATACTATGTACTATATATTATATAATAAATTTTACCTCAATCTTCAATATTCCTGGCTCCATATTTGTTTCGCTTGCGCTATCTTTACTATGTCTATCCTCCAAAGTATCCTCCAAGTTCACGCTGGATTCTTCTTCCGTAGACTAAAATTATAATTATATATAATTATAATTGTATTTTAATCACAGTGCCTTTCTCAATAAACAAGTTGTAGATAAACATTTCTTACCTCTTGAGTACTAATTTTCTTACGCGAATTGGGGATTTCGACGCTTCTTAGGTTCTCAATATATTCCATGGCTTCATGAGAATGGGATCTTGATGCGATGATAATCGCCGCTGAATCACTGATCATTTTGACGTCCATGGAAGGATGACCAACGGCATTTAATGACTGAATGGAAGCATCTTCGTCAGGTATTATGGAAGCGATTATTCTGTCTTCGCTAAAATCTCTAAGATCCTCGGTCTGGCATTCAAAAAATTATATGATAAATAAAAAGGATAATCGAATAAATTTAGTATTAAAAAAATTTAATCTGATTTAATACAATGTATGAACGTGGCAGAAACAGAATATAATTTTATGTTCATATATCATTTTGCAATTTATCATGTACTTACCAGATTACGTGAACCGCAGCGAGAATTTCGTTTGATCGGCGAATTAGAATTTGGCGAGTGATGAGCACTATGATTAGGTGATAGATATAGCGATTCTGATCTTTTGGGACTAGCAGTCTTTGATTGTAGCGATTCCTTGGATATCTTCGTATCATCCAAAGATAGAATATTTTCGTTCGCTAACGCAGATACAATAGATCTTGTTCGCACGACTGATGTATCGTCTTCTGGCTGTTCGGGAACACCGGAACTACTCTCCGTGCTCCTATTGCAGTTTTCGTCCACAATAATTAGCTCGCTGTGATTTGAGTGCCTTGAAATCGATCCGATCCGATTCGTTGGTTTCATATCATCCTCGCTGCTCCATTCCTTCGACGCTTCGTCCACGGTCAGTGCGTTTGCCGTTTCGATCGAATATTCTGCTTTGTTGGTATCCACCGGTGTCTAAAATTATTTAAGAAAATTATTCGGGAAATTATATATATATATACTAAATTACATTAAATCGTTTGAAGAAATAAAGAAATGTCTGGTAAGAAAATATTATTAAAAATCACATTTAATTCTCTCAGTGAAATTTTCCCAAATTAAATACAATTCGATTACGTATTTTTTTGACATAACATAAAATTTTGTATTTTCGTATAAAAAAAATGGCAAAAAGAAAGGATCGTAGCTTTTCACGAGAATGTCAATTAAACAAACATATTCAAAAATACTTTCAGTTTTCAATTTCAAACAAGGCTACTTTAACTCTACATCTTTCTACATTTAATTACCATAATATTTAATGTTGGAAAATAAAATGTTGCGTCAAATGACGGAGTTCTGTTAAACTTTCGCTCGAGAAGTAATGACTCCAAATATGCGAAAAAGTTTATCATAGAACTATTCTTCGTTGGTGGTGGGCCACCCTGTATGTGCAAAGAATTGTACGATTTGCAAATTGGATTTATTAGCAGTTTGACACAGGAAAAGCCAGAGGAAAAACAAATAATTAGCGAAAACGGTGGTTTCTTACGAAAAAGGAGTCGACATCGTCCTGAGATACGCTTTCCTGATTCTTCGTCTGTTGCGTGATAACATCGAACGCCGGATCACCGGCGTCCCGGCTTCGCGGGGTTGACGATCCGCTGTTGTCATTACCATTGTAATCTTGCAGCGTCGCATTCTGATCTTCCTCTCGTCTCGGTCGATCGCTTCTGGAAACGTCCGATGACGAACTGCTCGCACTTTTCGGACGTTCGCGTGCGCCGACTGAGAAGGAACGTAGAAATTCTAAGGAAATTTAAAACGTTTCGTAATCATTAACGTATACGCGCTTGCTGAAAGCATAATCATCGTAGCGTATGGTATCGTCGTTATGGAATCCGCGAGTGTGGATAAATTTAACTATTTTGCAATTTGGAAGATGAGATATTATCGATCCGGCTTTTCGCTGCGGCGCGACGTTCGATCGTACCTTAGACTTGACCAGCGGAATATTGATCATCGCGTCAGCTAGAACTTAAGCTCTATATGCATACCCGACGAGGTGAAGAACCTCTCGTTCCATTTCGCCATGTTTCCAGCCGCGCGCTTCAGACCGAAAGCTTATATCATATTTATTTTATCGTTCGATATCTCCGCCGTGTTATTGAAAACTTTTCGAATGTGAGATTCTGGCCAATACGTGAGATGTGAACGACGTATCATATTTATTGATTGAGTATCGTGAGAGAGAGACAGTTTTCAAAAAGTATTAATCTTTTGATAATAACATGTTGATTTATAACCGAAGAGGCTGAACACAGCTCGATCGAAAAATTAAATCGAAGCAAAAATAAAATTGAAAATATTAAAGCATCTTGCGATTGTAATGAACGTCTTTAAAGGAGACAAGACTACCTTGGTATCGCGATTCCTCCTTGTTCAAACCCTGCAAGTGATAGCTCTTCGTCTCGGACGAAAAGTGATGCCTGTTCCGTGCATTGAATTCTTCTTCGTTCGCCACTGCCGTCTTATCGCTATAAGAAATATAAAAATAGAAATCAATTTAAAAGTAGTTTTGCATGCGACTAGAGCACGATGAATTAATATTTCAGTAACAATGCGCGCAAAGCAATATTTTCATACGAGCTTTAGTTACATATCCGCATGTTTGTAAGCTGAATCGCATTGATATTTTAGAATTGCGAATCCGATGTGCGAAAAATAAATAGAACAATGCAAATGTCACATGAAACGATCGTATTTTTTACAGTTTAACGTATTGAATTGGTATAGACTGTCTAACATCTATTGATCTATTGAACTTAATTGACTAATTTGTTAATGGAGCTCATATCGATTATTTTATCTCAAAATTAGGGCGTTATCTTCCGGTAACGCCTCATACACTTTGATATCAAACATATTAGTTTACGTTTTCCACAAGTCATGTCTGACATCCATTTTCCAATGGATGTCAGATCTATTTTTTTTTTTGTAATGCATTTTTGTAACACTATCTTTATCAATAACGTTTTCGTAACGCGGTTTTCGATATTAATTGACTACACTATATCCATTATAAATGTATCGCTATATCTTTTTAAATTTTTATATTTATTCCTTTCAAACTTGAGCCACATGTCACGATGGTCAACGTACACCGTGTCACTGTTCCGATTCAATCTCAAGGCGATGACCGGCGTCGTTGCCGTGGTGATGATGGTCGAGATGGACGCGTTATCATTTACGTTGTCGTCGTTGCCGTCGCGGCCGACGTCAACTGATTTTCTGCATCGAAAAATGCACGGGCAACAAAATAAAACGGCGTTTGCGATCTTGCGCTCAGTGGATCTGCTCGTCGGTCGTGTCTCGTCGACGACGGCACCGTTTTGCTCCTTCATCTCGATCGGCCACTTGCAGAACTTGAAAATCATCCCGCCACGTTCCGTCCACGGTCCCGTTCGAAAGTTCTTGATCGCGGCCGCGAAATATGCTTTGTCTCACCCGACAGACTGACCCCCGGAGTCGGTGAGCGCGACATGATTTAAGCAACTTGTTGCTATTCTATTTCATAAAATCATACTTGTACAATTGTATCCGTTTGCAGATTATGAAAATATCCGCTTTTTATATAGAAAGAAAAAAAATCACTAGTTTGTAATCGAAAGTTGTTTCCCCCGAAAGTTTGTTTCCCCCGAATGTTGATTGATCTCTCTATCAAATATCATTTATTTTATTCGAGCCATCGATTTTTAACTTAATCTTTTATATTTTGAACCATTTTTCTCTTTTGTTTAATTTTTTAACATTTTGTATTAGAAACGGGAAAATAATAATATTATATGGACATAACAAGATGGATACAGATAGGAAAGGTTAAATGTTGCCGCGTCCCGACCTTTCGCAATATCGTTAAAGCGGTTAAAGAAAATAAGTGTGCGAGCTCCGAAGAATCAATCGATACTAATGACAATTTCAAGCACCGGCGAACGTTCTACCATTGGATCGCTTCGTGCGTGGCGACGTGTGCGAAATCGATGCGTCGGAATGTCCGAACCGCAAAAACGCGCGCAGAAACGCGAAAGATTGAGTTACAGATTAGTTATCGATCAGGTATTCGAGAAGTTTGTATTCCAAAAACGCGCGATTCTACGTCCATCTTGCCTATAAATCCACACATTTTTATCCATCCTACATATTATTACACTCGCTCCCGCATTACTCATCTCCATATTTATCTATCTTAATCTCTGTTTGTTTTATATTTTATTTATATATTATATTTGCAACTTTACAACACGCGGCTGAAAAGTTGCCTTAGATTTATGTTATGTATATCCTCGCGAGTCGCTCGAATCGCGCGAATCCGCAATTATTCTACGACTGTCGCGTGCGGTACGTCGAACTAATAGTAATTCGATCGAGATTGCGATGTTCATTGCGCTACCATCCGCAGGTGGCAACTTTTCAAGGCCAAACCTTGCGTAATGCGATCCGCTATGAGAATCCATGTGTCGTCCACGAACACGCACAACGCGTGCGATGCACTTCGGAAATCGTGTCTTTCCTTGCCATTCGATTTGAATGACAGAAGTCGACGACACTCGCGTGTAATGTGTGCGATCGAACGAGTTGAATTAGTTCGCTCTCGTTTTTTTTTCACAGCGAATCTCGCACGAGAAGCAAAAAGAAGCAGCGAATGCGAGTGATGACCATCTCGTCTGACGACGAGAAGGCATATTTAATTGCGTGCACGAAGGGCATGCGACACGCTCGTAACAATCGACGACGTACGCACGACTGTGGTACGTAGTAGAGACGGCAAACGTCTCGACGCTGACCGCTGCCATCGCCACCCTACGTCGCCCCCGCCCCATGTCCGTTCGGTCCCTCGACCGCTCGATCTCCTATACACCCCTACTCCTTTTTAATCAAATACGAGAAGTTTGAAAAGCCGAAATTTTATTTTCAATCTTTTCGAAGAAAAATTAAATGGAATGGAGAAAGAGAGGAAATGGAAAATGCATAAATAAATAAAAAATGCGGAAAAAGTATGGGAATAAAGGAGAAACTTAAAATATAAATATTACGATATCGTGATACGTACGCGTAAAATTCAATTTCGACGGACGAAAAATAATTCGGATGGAATAATTCGAGTTTCGAGCTTTCGAATCTTCGTCCTCTTATCTATCGAGGACATTTTTTTGCCGTTACATTTCTACGAACACGCGGGTATCACCCTTTCGAATTCCCCCTCACGAGATTGTAAACCAAGCTGACCATAACTCACCCTTCTCCCCTCGTGGTGGTCACGAAAGAAGGGTTGCCAGACCGAGTCATGCGATCCGAGTGAAATGCGGTTAAAGGAGGTTGAAGCAGATGCCAACCGCATTTGTCGCTTCTCTTTATAGATCTTGGAATTTATCCTAAGAACTTTATAATCTTACAGAGATTATAAAAATTGTATTTTAAACTTGCTTGATCTTACTTGGAAATTGGGAATGACTCATTGGCAGTGACTTATTACTCATTCGTAATTCTCTTGGCAATGGGAATTGATTTTAATTGCCGGCACGCTAAAGTGAAATTCCCGATCGTCTCATCATTTAGTCATGCAATTTCTCTCGCGAAATAATCGATGAGATATTTGAAAGAAATTGATATATACATAAAAATGTGAGTCAGAGGTTATAAAAAAATCCGAAAAATATTTTTACACTCTTGGAAGAAAACTTCTCCATCTTTTATTGCATATACAAATACAAATTTGAACAAATTAAAAATTCAATATTGAGAAAGCTGACTACGCAACAAAATTTCTTCTTTTTAATATTCGCTTACGATAAATATTCTGGGATAGACGATATTGAATAGCGATCAGTGGCTGCGTGCCGGCTTAGACGTAAAATATTCAGCGAGGGAATGGACGATAGCATAACGAGGCGTTTCGACAATCTACAATAGTCCCGCATGTTGTAACATGCTGTGCACACAGCACCCGCGTCATTAATATATAGTAGTATTTCTAAGCGCTGCGAATTCCGAGTTGTATTTAATTTAATCGGAAGACGAAACGATCGAGACATTTTTCTGTCGTGCGGCACGCGCGCTTTCCTTCTCCTCCTCATTCTTTCTTCTTAATTTTATCGACCGATTAATTTGAGCGGTTAGAATTAGTCTGCTCGCGATATAGTGGCACGTTTTTGTAAGTCTTACAAGCGCGCGTTAAATGTTAAGCCGCAATTCTCACAAGATCTTGATGGGAGAATGATGGGGGGGGAGTCGCGTTCTTATAAATTTAGAACCGATCGGAGTTATCGTTGTAAAATCGGTTGTAAAAATTGCCGGCATGCAAGATGGTTTTCGCCGATCTGAAATCACCGCTTTATCAACGATTTGGATCTTGCTATATAACTTGAGTATGTTAAGAATAATGTGTGTCACGTGGTGAAATCGAGATTAAGCGAAATACGTGGTCGCACATCTTGTGTGTGGCACCTTACATTATTATAATCGCCATTGCAACCTAAACTATTATCACAGGCAAG